GAGTAGTGCTACCTCAAGACCCAGCTATACCACTGCTAGGTATATACCCAAAATTTGCTCAAGTACACAAGGACATTTGTTTAACCATGTTTGTAGTAGCTTTATTTGTAATAGCCAGACCTGGAAACAACCCAAATGTCCATCAACAGAGGAATGAATACAGAAATTGTGGCATTTTTACACAATGGAATACTACTGAGCAATCAAAAAAGGAGGAAATCATGAAATTTGCAGGCAAATAGTGGGATCTAGAAAAGATTATTCTGAGTGAAGTATCCCAGAAGGAGAAAGACAAACACAGTATATACTTACTTATATAGACCTACAAGATATGATAAACAAAATGAAATCTATACACCTAAAAAAGATAATCAAGAGAGCGGACATGGGGTAAGATGATCAATCCTTGTTTAGAAAGACAGATGGGATGTGCATTGAACGTATGACAGGAGTCTACTGAGGGCATCTGAAAGACTCTAACTAGCAGTGTTTTCAAAGCAGATACAAAGACTCATGACCAAACCTTCGGCAGAGTACATGGAATCATATGAAAGAAGGGGAGTTAGTATGATGGGGAAAAGATAGGAGCTCCACAAGGACCAAATATATCTGGGCACAGGGTCTTTTCTGAGACTGACATTCAACCAAGGACCATGTATGGATATAACCTAGAACCTCTGCTCAGATGTAGCCCGTGTAGCTCAGTAACCAATTGGTTTCCCGTAGTGAGGGGAACAAGGACTATTTCTAAAAGGAACTCAATGGCTGGCTCTTTGACCTCCCCACCCCCCAAAGGAGGAGCATTCCTGTTAGGCCACAGAGGAGGACCTTGCAGCCAGTCCTGAAGATACCTGAGAAAACAGGATCAGATGAATGGGAAGTGGGTCCCCCCGTCAGTGGACTTGGAAAGGGGCAGGGTGGAGATGAGGGAGGGAGGGTGGGATTGGGAGGGAATGAGGGAGTGGGATACAGCTGGGATACAGAGTTAATAAAATGTAAATGATAAGAAAAAAATAAAATTTAAAAAAAGAAGTGGGAAATAGTAAGAGCTGGAGAGGACAGGAACTCCACAAGGAGAGCAACAGAACAAGAAAATATGAAAACAGGGAACTTCCCTGAGACATACTCCAACCAAGGACTATTCATGGAGATAACCTAGAACCCTGACAATGCAGCCACTTCTGATGAGAACTGATAGACTAAGATCAGAAAGAAAGAGAGGATGACCTCCCCTATCAGTGGACTTGGGGAGGGGCATGCATGCAGAAAAGGGGGAGGGTGGGACTGGCAGGGGAGGAGGGTGGGGCTTATGGGGGGATACAAAATGAATAAAGTGTAATTAATAAAAGTTAAATTAAAAAATTCAAAAAATTAAAAAAAACAAGGAATTTATGAAATTTTCAGGAAAATGGATGATACTAGAAAAGATCATCCTGAGTGAGGTAACCCAGAAACAGAAAGACACACGAGGTTTGTACTCACTTATAAGTAGACATTAGTCACATAATATAGGATAAACATACCAAAATCTAAAGAAGCTAAACAACAGGGAGGACCCTAGTACTATTTCCTTTACATTCATTTGTGATCTTGTGTTTGGGACATGAATATTAAGAATTGAAATGTCATCTTGATGGAATTTTATTTTGATTAGTATGTAGTATCCTTACCCATCTCTTTTGATTAGATTTGATATGAAGTCTTTTTTGATATTAAAATGTCTACACAAGCTTGTTTCTTAAGATCATTTCCTTGGAATGTTTCTCCAACCCTTTACCCTGAGAGAATGTCCTGTTGTTCAGGTGTTTTTCTTGGATCTACCAGAATATAGAACCTCTTTTCACACTCATACTGTTATTCTGTACCTTTTCATTCAGAAAAGTGGAGCCATAGATAATTGAGAGGATCTGTGACCAATGACTGTTGATTCCTTTTATTTTGCTTATGTTGCTGCTGTTGATGATGGTGGAAGTGTGTGTGTGTGTGTGTGTGTGTGTGTGTGTGTATGTATGCATTCCCTCTTTTAGTTTTTTTCTGAGATTTTTCTCTTGTTTTCTGTGTTTTCATCACTGTAGATAACCTCCATGGATTGGAGTTTTCTTACTCTCACATTTTATACATCTAGGTTTAAATTAGATATGGCCTAAATTTGACTTTATTATGATTTTTTTTTGTTTGTTGACGAAATTGCTGGGTATAGTAGACAGTGCTGGTATTTTTGATCCATTAGAGGCAGCACTACATCTGATAAGGCCCTTCTGCACTTTGATTCACTATTGAGTTTTCCGGTGGAATTCTAATATGTCTGTCCTTATGTTCAGTTTTTAATATTCTTGCAGTTTTTAATATTCTTTCTTTGCTCTGTATGTTTAGTGATTTTATTATTATGTGACAAGGTGTCTTTCTTTTCTGACCCCATATACTTGGTGTTCTTTGTGCTTCATTGTACATTTATAGGCTCAGGAAAATTTTCTTCTCTAATTATGTTGAAAACATATTATAGACCACGAAGATGGGTTTGTTCTCCTTTCTCTATACCTATTATTCTTAGGTTTGGTCTTTTCAAAGTGTCGAAGATTTTCTGTTTATTTGTTTTTCTTTATTGGTTGGTTTCAGGAGGTTTGGGTTTTAGCATTTCCTTTCACTGATGGACCCATTTACTCAAACATCTCCTCAATGCCTTGATTCTCTTATAAATACATAAGTCTTGTATTCTCTTGGTACAGACTGACTCTCATTTATTTTTGAATTCCTAAGAATTTAATGTTGAGAATCCCCCTAGTTTCTGGGTTTTTTTTATAGGTTATATTTCCATTTTCAGGTGTTGATGAGTTTTTTTGTTTGTTTGTTTCTTTGTTTTCTTCAACTGTTTCTGCTTTTTTGTTTTTCTGGTTTTTTTTCCTTTTAAAAAGAGATTTATTATTTCCTCCAATGTTTGTTTTTGTTTCCTGGATTTCTTCATGGGATTGATTTATTTTCTTTTTGAGAATCTCTAACATCTTTGCATAGTTTGTTTTAAGGTATTTTAGTTGTGTTTGAGCTAAATTGGAATATTCAGGACCAGCTGTCATGGCACAGTTGTGTTCTAGTGTAGACATGTTGCCTTGGCTGTTATTGTATTTTTATGCCATCATCTAGGCATCTGGGTTTGGCATGATTAGATATCTAGGAACTGATTTTTGGGTATTAGTCTTTGTTGGATAGGTGTCTATTTTTCTGGTTTCTGCTTTCTCTCTGGATTTTTGGAGAGTATTGTGGATGGGTATTTCTTGTTTTACTTGCTTGCTCAGCTGGTGTGTTCACAGGGAATGCCTGATGATGTTGGAGCTGGCATACTGGAATGAGTTGGAGGAAAGAAAATTGGATGAAAAGTCCTGTGACCTGTAGGGAATGGGTTCAGAGAGGAAAGAGAGACAAAATATTTTTGGCTACAGATGTGGAAAAGAGCTAGGAGATTGGATCCCTGTAGCAGTGGGAATGTTGTGGTTATGATTTAGCCTGCTTTTTGCCTTGGGAGGAGCATCTCTTTGGTTAGCAGGTGGTGTCTGATATAGTTGGTTTCTGAGAGAAAGCAACAAGTGGAGAAAGTAAAGACCGAAGGGTAAGATCCGTGGAATCCATTGGAGATAGGAGCACAGGCCACAGATTGCTGCCAAGATCTTCATCATAAATCACTGTAAAGAGAGTCTTGTTTGAGTAAGAATGAGAGTATTATTGTTCATGTGCATAAACACAAACATTTAGAATGCTGCCTGACAAAAAGTATATAAAGTTAAATGACAGCATCAAGTTCCTCCTCATTCGATATGTCCTCCTCCCACCCTAAATTTTCATGTGGGTCCATAGTATCAGATAGGAAATACTCTTTTGATAAATATTCTTCCCCTGTATTTCAGCTATATGACAAGTGCATAAATATACTGAACATAGACAGAGTAGGAACACTTTGGTCATGAATACAATATCCTGCACAGTTTTGAGCTAGTGACTATATTTTGAAATATAGTAGAGAGTGAACACACACATGATCAAAATGAAAAATTTTAAATTATCAATGAATAATATTGTAGAATAAGAAAACCCTATTTTTTTTAAAAAAGAAGTGTTTCTATAGTTAAAGCATACATTGTACAATAGAAGCAACAACACTCAGAAACGAAGAAATAAGCTGTGAGTGTGAAATTGCCTTGGGAAAAATTTATTAGCATTTATGATCACTAAAGAAAAATATATCAAAATAAAGATTTGATTTTTCTGACAATAAACTTCATACATGTTTAGGTCAAAATGTAAAAAAGAAAATTATTTGATGAAGTGATAGTTTTTAGAAATAAACAAAGGTTTAATGTAATGGAAATATTTAATTACAAACCAAGTTGTATATGTGCTTTAATTCAGAATAAAAGTCACAAATTTGGAATCAGAGTATTCAAAGCTTCTTTTTTGAATACCTAAAAATACTGCAAAAATCTGTCCCTATTTGTAAAAACAAAACAATGCTATAGCTAAATGTGAAAACATATTCTAGTGAAGGACTTAAGCTTCAAGGATGTAACAGTATTTATTATTTCAAAATTACTCCATAGTATGAACCAAATTTGTGTACCCAAGGGATTTTAAAATAAGTAAATATGGGTCTCGAGTCTTAGAACAATACATAGAAATTAATTTCAAAGATTATTGTACCCAGAAATTGGTGATTTTTTTCATAAGGTGATATCTGAATGAAATTAGCATTATACAATACTATCCTGTAATCTTATGAGCTTATAAAATTGATGCAAACACAGGCAAAACATACAAAGACAAAGGAAAAGCATTGGGATTCTTTGATTTTTGTCACCTTGGCAAAGATGGCTGTGTAGATTTGAAATGCTTCACAAATGAAAAAGTAACGGAAGGTGAGTCAGGAAGCAATTTAATGAAGTGGGATTAAGTAACAACTTAGAGGGAAAGGGAACATTGAGGATTGATTCATGGTCCCCTTTATTTCTGAATAGATATGGACCAGTGTGTGATGTGTCCAGAAAGTCACTATGCTAACTCAGAGAAGAACCACTGCCTCCAGAAATCTGTGAGCTTTTTATCCTATGAAGACCCTTTGGGGATGGCTTTCACCACCACAGCACTGTGCTTCTCTGCACTCACAGCTGTGGTTCTTGTTGTCTTTGTGAAACAGAGACACACCCATTGTCAAGGCCAATAATAGGGATCTCAGCTATACCCTGCTATTGACACTCATCATCTGCTTCCTCAGTTCCTTGCTCTTCATTGGCAAGTTCAACACAGCCACCTGCATCTTGCAGCAGACAGCATTTGGAATTTTGTTTACTGTGGCTCTCTCCATAGTATTGGCCAAAGCTATCACAGTGGTTATTGCATTCAAGGTCACTGTTGCAACTAGATTGGTGAGGTGGTTAATGGTATCAAGGGTCCCTAACTTCATCATTCCCGTCTGTACACTCATCCAACTTGTTCTCTGTGGAATCTGGTTACCTCTCAACCCTCCATTGATCATGATGCTCATGCTGAACATGGCCACATCATCATTGTGTGCAACAAAGGATCAGCAGTTGCCTTCCACTGTGTCCTGGGATACCTCTGCTTCTTGGCACTTGGGAGCTATGCCATGGCCTTCTTGTCCAGAAATTTGCCTGACACATTCAATGAAGCCAAGTTCCTGTCATTCAGCACGCAGGTATTTTTTTTATGTGTGGGTCATGTTCCTCTCTGTCTACCACAGCACAAAGGGGAAGGTCATGGTGGCTATGAAAGCCTTCTCTATCTTGGCTTCCAGTGCAGCACTTCTTGGTTTGATCTTTGCTCCCAAGTGCTACATCATTTTTTTAGACCACATACGAATTTCTGTCTTGGCATTAGGCATAAAACCCATTCAAGAAATATGTCACTTAAAATTTAGTTAAAATTAAAATTAAGCTGTTACTAAATTAAATTCAATGATTGAAGCCTGTGTCTCACCATTCTAAACCTCTTATTCAGGTATGAGAGTATAAGGGTTCATAATTCTTCACATAATAGTAATAAAGTCTTTGTTGACCTGGAAACATTATTTTTATCTCATGTTTGAAATTCACGTTTTACTTTTTTCTGTAATAAAATTTCTCTATGTTACCTTTCTTGGCCTCAGGACTCATATGTAGAACAATGTGGCACAAACTCAAGGGTATCTGATTTCCTTTGCCTACTAAGTGCTGGCATTGGTGTCACCGGCCACATTTTATTTAGTTGATCCTTCTCTGATTTAAAAAAAAAATGAAAATCATTAAATTTCGTGTAACTTATTTCAGTTTTTGAACTTGGGAAGATTCTGTTATATCCTACTCTGTAAATTGACAGTTATGAGAGTAGATTGTTTCTCAAACATAAATTTTCATTTTTATGATTTTCAGAAGAAATTTCCTGATTTAGAATGACAGTAGAATATCCTATTTTTATATCTTGTTATTTTGTCATGAGGGGAAATAAAAAACTCTTACTGTGGGGAACTACAACAATGCCTGATCTATAGCTAGTAGTTCTTTAGATACTCAGAGCTCAGAAACAGTGTTGTATGACTGATGAAGTGGTACATAGTGTGTTATAAGAACAAGGCAAGCAGGGTGAGCAATGAGCATTATGGAAGATGGAGTTAATAAAACTACAGCAGAATAATATGAAGGCTATATTCTTCATTATAATAAATTAAACTTCTTTCTTGAAGAAGTAGAAATAATGGGTAATGGACAATGAAAAAAGAAATGTTGTTTTAAATGACCTTAGGAAAAGTTGTTGAACCTGATCATAGAAATCATGACTGGATATTCATGATCTCTAAAGAAAACGCATGTCTCTACAAAAACAGGGAATGTTAAAGCATCTTATGTGGGTAACGTCATTAAATGCCAGCAATATAAATGAACATTAGCTGATGCAATTTGGACATGTGCAGTTCCTTACAAGCTTTCTATTTGAAGATTTGTTATCTTTATGGTATGATTGAAGAGGTAGGCTTTTCAGTGCTCAGGTAGATGGTGTTAAGTTCATGACTCTATTATATTTCTGAGGCAATATAGAAAGTGACAAGTCTGAAAGAGACCAATGTGGCTTAAGCAGAAGTGATTGTCTTTTTTTTTTTCAATTATAGTGACAGATATTTTCCATTGGGAAAAGGGGTATTTGGAAAAAAAATGTTTTCATGGGCAGTTTATGTAAGGGTTCATTTCTACAGATGCAGATTTAAATGTAGAGTCAGATGTTTACATGCTATTCTCTACTTCCTTGGAAATTTCTGTCTTCCTTGGACATGTATCAATAATATCTTTATAAATTGTCTTGTGCTAACTATTATGATGCATGGGGGAATGGATGACTTATGTAGGCAAGGGCAGTAAATGAGAAGGGGCTGGGATTTTCACAGAGAATCAGATTTCAGCAAACCTTAGTAGAATAAAAAGTTCCTTGGCTTGATGTACCAATCTAGTCACATGAATTAGGTCAGATGGAATATCCTACATCCAGCACAGGATAGAAGGGCCACAGTGAGACTGTGGATGTGACAAGCTCAATGCATGCAATCAGATTTCTTACATCCTTATCAGAAACAGAATGTAATGTTGGCTTTCCTGAAGAATACAGTTGTAGTTACTGGGGTACAATGACATTTGCAAGCTATACAGGGTAAAGAAGATTAATGTCTAAGACTAAATGTTCTTCCAAGGTTCTATATGCTTTTCTGAGTTCTAGAGAATGCAGAGATACAAAGCTATACTGAATGCTCCAAAGCCTGAGGGAGGGCATCAGGTCTCAGGAACTGAAATGGGCACAATGCCCTAGAAGCTCCTTACTATAAACTGAAAATCCTGTGGCACATGCTTCCCAAGGCATTTGGACCATGATTCCCCAGAGTACACTATTTTTTATCTTTTAATTTCAAAATATGTAATTCAAACTTCAAAGCAGACATAGAGTAGCCAACCAATCTGAGAGATATAATGCTCTCCAGCCTAACAAACAAAAGATTTCCATAGACATTCCAGAGGACCAAAGTTTTTTAAATTTATTTATTTTTTTAATATAAATTACACTTTATTCATTTTGTATCTCTGCTGTAGCACCCTGGTCCTAGTCCTGGTCCTGGTGGTCCTGGTCCAGATTACTCACCCAGGGCTCAGCTGTGACTTCAAAAGTCCACTGTCAAGCGTTGGCCATGTAGAACTTTCTCTCTGGGGCTCGATATATCCCAGTAGAACCCTTGGGCACCAAATACACACCTGGCAGCATTTCTATAGATGGATGCACAAGCCCAACTCGCTGGAAGCTCTCTACAAACACTGGCTCTCTCCCCTTGGTAACCCAGTCAAGGACCATCGCCCAGGGATGGCTTCCCCCACAGTGGGTGGAGCCTCCCCATCAACTGCAGTCAAGAAGTTGAGGCCCCTTTTAGCACCAGGACCAAGACGCCGGCATGACTCTGCCCAATGTGGGCAGATGGGGAGGCCCCATTTCCGAATACATCACTTAAGATGAGTAAGCAACACCTTTTTAACAATAATCTCAAACCAACAACAACACAACAGTGAAAAACAGCAATTAAAAAAGAAACAAAATTAAGGGACTCTTTAAGGGGAGCAGGTGCTGGATGCAGCTCAGCTGGTGATTGTACCAACTATTTGTCCACCTCGGGCAGTGAGGACGTGGGCTCCATGGGCCTCCTAGTGCACCACAGCAGAGAGAAACAGCAGCTAGTTGGGAAGATCCACAAGGGACTGCACATCCACTGATGCTGAAGCCAGAGGAGGCTGAGCTGCTCCAGCTTCAGGCATGACCTGGGGTCCAACAGCTGTGGGGTTCCAGGAGCTCAGCATCCTCTCGGGCATCGCATCTGCCCCCAAAGCTGGTCTCCGTGTCTCCCGTGCCCCTGAGGCTTCTTACATGGGAGGCTATGGAGTCAAGGCCCAGAGGAGGAGCCCATGATCTGAGTACAGAGCACAGATCAGGGTGAGCTATCCAGAGAAGACCTCTCCATGCCAGGGAAGGCACAGCCTGCTCTCCTTCCAACAAGAAGGCTGAGCTGAAAAGTGTCCTGCTTTTCTCCTCTGGGCCAGAGATTCAGGAGACTTCCCCAGTGTGACCCATGGTTAGAACCTGCAGCAGGATCATCTGGCGCCTCCCGTGGTCTCCTCACCCTTGTCCTCAGACTTCACCCTCTTGGTCTCCTGCTCCTCCATCCCTCAGAGGATCTCCCTGGCCTGGTGGTCCACCTCCATGGTGGGCACATGGACCCTGGCATAGTTCAACAGTTGCCTCACTAGGGCCAGGTCCATTACCCCACAGAAATCCAGGGGGAATCTCTGCAGCCACTAAGACAGGAAAGAGAAGATGGCACTGTGGGCAAGAGCAGGGCAGAGGTTCACAGGGTTGGGACCCTGGCCTTACTTTGGGGCTGCAGGGGCCATGCATGTCCTCTGGGGCCTTTTCTTTCCACTGCCTGCCTCTGCTGCTCAGAACCCAGCAGCCCAAGGAAGACCTCTGCCCTCCACCAGCAGGCAAGGTCACGGGGATAGTCCCTAGGGAAAGAACCCCAAAGGTAAGGCTCCTGAACATTACTGGTCCTCCACCCTAGCCCCTCCCCACTCACCTTCCCCTCTGCCCCAAGCCCACTCACATCTTTGTCTGCTGGTCCTCCTCACAGTTGGGCCTGAAGGATCTCTCCTGTGACAGTCCACTGGGGTGTCACCCCTAAGGCTCCGTTTCCCCAAACCCACCCAAATGTCTAGAGGGAGCTATTAGAATCTTTCCAGTGAGGGGTTTGTGAATGCTGGGGGCTCCATCCATCCCAAACACCGCAGATGGGGTCCAGAATCCTTTACACAAAGGAGAAAAGGATGATCAAGGCTTGAGAAAGGGTGGTGTGTGAGACTCCCTGGGGAAGGTGAATGGCACCTGCTAGAGCCCCACCTCTGCCCCAATCACCCATGTATGGCCATGTCACTTTAAAGGGCCAGGCCTGGCACCTAGGCTGCTGCGACTCAGTCGTCCCGGTTCTGTGAGGACACAGGCCCTAGGAAACAGCAGGAGGAAGTCTTAGGGCTGGATCCCTAGTGGAACCGCTTGACTGCCTTTTCAGGATCAGGTCCAGAACCAATCCGGTGGTCGCAAACTTTGGATAAAGGGCCAGAAAGAGCCATGGGCAAATAGGGGATCATCTGCTCCATGAAGTTCACGCCATCATTGCTGAGCAATGGGGATGCCATGCAGGAAGGCTTGCTTCCTTTCACTCTGAGGAAGGACCAGGGCAGGAGGGAGGCTTGAAGTGTGCAACCCCGAGGGGCACCAACGACCCCTTTCCCTACACTGAAGTGGGCTTGAAAAGTGTTCCTCAGTGACCCAACAGGAACACTCGTCCAGGCTGCGACCGTTGTGGATGGGGGATGGGAGTGGACCAGAAAGCTCTCCCACCACATGGTGGCCCTGGTTACCTTGGTCTCCCAGTGGGGAACAGGCCAGAAACCGGTCAGTGAGCGCACCACATGTCTCCAGCAGCGACCCAGGTAACCACGGCTGGCTTCCAAGAGACCTGAGGCCCTGGAGGTCTGGAAGCAGAAGAACAGACTCATCTCTCCAGGTCCTCTGGACCAGCTGATCTGTCCAGGCAGCTGTTGCTGCTGCTGGTCTCTGGTTACCTGGCAAACAGGGTTCTGAGTTCCACCCGGAACAATGCTGAGGAAGCATGGTCACTTCCTGGAGTTACCTGCCCAAGCCTCCCCCTCATGGGTTCTCCCTGTGGGCCACGAGCCCTGCAAGCTCCGCTGATAAAACCGTCAACCATTCCAGAGAGAAATGATGGAGAAGTTGCCTCCCATCACCACTAGAGTGCTCAGAGACACAGGAGACGGTGCAAGGATGAAAAGAACTGGAGCA